AATGATATTTTATATATATACATATAATGATATTATATATATATATACATATATATATATATATATGTATGTATGTATTTATGTATGTATGTATATACATTTTATATATAAAAATCAAAATTAAATAAAATCAATTAAAGTCAAAAGGAATATAATAAAGGATAATTCAATAAAGATACCTTATCGTAAGAAAATAATGACAATGAGGGTAAAGATATTTTTGTAATTGGTAAGTGATGAGAAATTTTTGAAGGATATAGAAAGGGCGGAGGAGATGTAGAATACACAGTGCAGTTGTCAAATGATAACAGTTCATGCAATATCCAACTGATTATAATTCACGCAAGTTCAGTCAGGACGGAGGAGAAGCAGAATTTACAATGTTATTGTGAAATGATGACAATTCACGAATGTTCAGTAAAATCTAGATAAGTTTAAATCTACTTCGGTGATGGCATTTAGAAATTAATTCTTTCCTTTGCTTTAAAAGTATATTTAGATTTCCAAATTTAATAATTCTAATTTTCTCTTGTAGGCATAGATTGTATCTACATTTAAAATTACTCGATGTGTGAGCAAAACCTATGATTTTCCAGTCATTCTGGGGATTTAGTTCTTTTTTCTACAATTCAAAAAATGCTTTGGAAAGTTCATTTTTGAATTTCAATTTTGGGTTGAAAGGCTATATAGTCTTTGTTTCCATTCACACGAGAAAATTCCAATATAAATATTTTGGTTGTTCATGTTCTTTTTAGGGTAAATGGTTGCCTGGTAAATCATATTAGATACCATAGAATTTTTTAAGAATAACTTTATTATGGGAATCAATAATTTTATACATATTATTTGTACAGGAATGACTTATTTAATAGTTTTTTCTATTGAAGACTCTACTTAGGTTGTGGTTAATTTTTAAATTTAAGAACACTTGTCACATGGTGATTTTGGATAACCTACAGAAGGTGGTGTTGAACCAGATATTTCTTTTTCTATTTCTACACTTATTAGTACTTTTATCGACCTAAACGTTATTTGTAGGGTTCAAGTACGATAGTTTCTTATTAAAACCACATTTTGGAGTGACCTCCTTTGTTTTTATTAAATACATATTTATTAGAGGAAAGTTTACTAATCCTAGTTCCAACGGTGATGGGTATCTGCCTTAAAATAGTATAAGGGTGGTTCGAGTTTACATCAATGCAGTTAGGAGTTTCATGATCTTTATGGTAAGGTTTATATTGGTGTTCATGTCAAGAGTGATATGCAAATAATCTACCATTTTTAGGTTAAATGAGATATCTATCTTGAATCCCAGAAATAAATGTTTTTTTCTGTAGTTGAATAGTGAGTGGACTATTGCTATTACGAACGTAAATAAGTCCGTCGTCTCTATATAGACCTACTTGCTTCGGATCTACGTTTCTACTAAAAATCTGAAGAATATATAGACAAACAAGTTCAGCTACCTGGGCGGAATCATATGCTGCCATTGGAACGTCAAAGTCAACACTCTTGCATTTAATCCAGGTGGAATTGTTTAGTGTCAAGATTGATTTCCTGGCAGCAAAATATAATATTAATTTCATTAACAGTTACATCCATGTAGTTTTTTGGGGTTTTTTTTTTGCAAATTTTATGCAGTTAACCAATAGATTTCTGGATAAAGATGAATAAAAATCAATAATACCAAAATTTAATGAAGGTGGCTTTCTTTTTGCCATTCATATTACTGAAGCATACAAAGGTAGCAGAAGAACCCTTCCAAAGATTGAACCCCCTAGTGATGACAAGTCTATCAGGAATGTTTTTAATATTTTTAGAGGTTAAGCCTAGGTCTGATTTAGTAGGATTTATTAGCCCAGATTAAGTGTTAGATTTATGATTGTTGAAAAAAATATAGGGGTCTTTTGTATGTATTTTCCCCATTCTGTCAGCAATATTCAAATTAGTGGCTAAATCGGCCATCGCCTATTTTCATGTTTATCATTTTGTAATTAAAAATTATTTTGTTACCGAGGATCTTCCGATAATTAGATGGGTCATATTTATAAATTTATATATATAGTATGTGTATCTACATATATGTATGTGTATATCTATATATGTACATACATACATATATGTAGATATATATATATCTATATATGCGCATATATATATATATATGTGTGTGTGTCTGTGTGTCTGTGTGTGTGCGTGTGCGTGTATATGCTTGCATATATATATATATATATATATATATATATATATATATATATATATATATTACAATTATTTAAAAAAATATAATTTCATCGCTACATAAGAGTTCTCATGTTTCAAAAACAGGAGATAAAAACTTCAATATAATTATTAAAATTAAATTGAATTAAAGTATCAAGCTCAGTTTCATCCTCCATCGAAATGTTTTGGAATCACTAATCTTGAAATTTACGGATCTTTATAAGCATATTCATTCGTAATATTAATTACTATGGAAACGGCTGAAGCAATTATTTCAATAAGAGGATGTTAACCCTTACGCCTCTTATTGAAATAATTGCTTTTTTATATTTTAGACTCTACTTATGCATCGAGCACTATTTTTTGAAAATAAAAAAAACTCCTAAAGAAATTCGGATTATAAACTTACGTCCTCTTTCTTATTTTTCTACATATTTTGCACACCTATAATAAAAGTATATATATATATATATATATATATATATATATATAAACATCTTTAAATAATATCGTATAATAAACAACAATGCTCTACTGTTGGATTGTATTGAGCCCTATTTTAAATTATTGTTATAAACGTTTCCAATATATATTCATTCGTTCTCATTTCATACGTATATATATATATATATATATATATATATATATATATATATATATATATATGTGTGTGTGTGTGTGTGTGTTTGTGTGTGTGTGTGTGTGTGTGTGTATTTAAGTGCATTTTTAATCGAGTTTATACCAATCAAGGCACTAAAGCCACTAAGACAGAAGGGGTCACAGGGCGTTGAAGAATCATATATATATATATATATATATATATATATATATATATATATATATATATATATATATATATATGCGTGTGTGTGTGTGCAAACTTCATTAAATATAATAGATAAAGGTGCTTTAAGTTTTTTATATAATTTCTCATATGATCCTATAATTTTTTTCAGTAGATAAATTATAGAAAGCTATCTACTGAAAAGAAAAAAATGATCTTATGTGAAATTGTATAAAAAACTTAATAAGCACCGTGTCTGTCATAGATAATGAATCTTCCATGAAAGAAGGTTTGTTGTCTAAATGCAAAATTTTAAAATATATATATATATATATATTTGTGTGTGTGTGTGTGTGTGTGTGTGTGTGTGTGTGTGTGTGTGTGTTTGTGTGGGTGTGTGTGTGTATGTATTTAAATAATAGGAAAGAAATTAAATTTGCCACTCAAAGATACACTTGCTTTCTTCATTCGTATAAAAGCCAACACCTCCTTAATAAAAAACGGGAATTCTCTTAACACCACCAACTTAACTTAAAAATAGAATAAATCCAATTGTCTCGTAAGTTATTCTTAGCATTGCTTGATAATAGACCCGAGCTCCAAATTTATGTTCAAATTTTAAAGATTTAAGTCTTGGTTTCGAAACATAGTAATTTCTGTTTCACGCTGGAGACATATTTTTCAAAAAATAATTATATATATATATATATATATTTAAAAGAAAAACAGACCACTTTAAGGTACCATTATTTCATAATTGTACCTTAAAGTGGTCTGTTTTACTTTTAAATATTAGCTCTGGATTTACATTGAGCTCTCAGGATGTCATCCTCTTTGGATTAGCCATACGGATTACCAAGTTCTTCATAATAATGGTACCTGAAAGTGGTCTGTTTTTCTTTTAAATATTAGCTCTGGATTTACATTGAGCTCTCAGTATTTCATCCTCCTTGGGATTAGCCATACGGATTACCAGTTCTTCCTTATCAACTCAACTATATATATATATATATATATATATATATATATATATATATATATATATATATATATGCAAGCTTTTGTTATAATTGTTAACAAATAATATTATATATATTTATATATATACCGTCTATACTCAAGTATCATGCAACTTTTAAGACCTAATTTTGAAGCTAATTTTAAAAGGGTCGCATCATACATGTGATTTAAAATTAACGTATGTACTGGTGGCCCTGGCTATGCCGTTTACTAAAATATATATCTGTTTACTGTAGTCAAAAATGCAGCTGTATATATAATTTCGTATTTGGACAACATTTCCTCTTTTATCCTAGTTTCATAAAAAACGACTGACAAGAAAAGAAGAAAATTATAAGGACATAAGAATAAATTAGGTAAAATATTTAACAGCATTACATTATCAGACGTTTCTTAATGAAAACTATATATATATATAAATATATATATATATATATATAAATTTTCATTAAATATATGTTTGTGTGTGTGTTACATTGATAGATAGGTAGGCTGATCAATATATACATGTGTTTGTTCTTTTTTTTTCCTATTGTTATTTTATCTTTTTATTTTGTCCAATTATTTGACTCCATTTTGTATTTTTTCTTCAATATGCGAAAAATATAACCATTAACCCAAGACGTAGTTGGAACAATGGTAAAGACTAATGCGATCTCCCTTTTTTGGAGAGCTCCAATCACGTGATTCAATAGGGCTGAGCGTTTGCCAGTGGTCCATATCCTCCGCTCTCATTCGAGCTGGCCGCCATCACAAATAGTCCGTGTCGAAGATACGAGGCATGTCGCTTCTGTGTGGTTCGACGTCGGCCTTTGAGCGTTACCTTTGGATGTGCAGACAGATTATTGCGGTCTCCACTGATCGTCATTATTTCTCTTTTGATCTACCATTAAAAGAACCATTAAATTCCTTTGAGAGCTGCTTTCTGAAATGGCCGGCTTTGAAATGAGGTACGGCAAACGTAGTTCAACGTATGAGATGGAGAGGCTTCTTCTCTTCTCCTACTCCTCCTCCTCCTTTTCCTACCCTTCATTCTTCCTCCCATCTCTTCCTCCCCCTCTTCTTATTCTTGTTCTTTTTCTTCTTCTTCTTTGCTTTATCCCACCACTATCTCTATATCACATTTTCTTTCTATTTCTCTACTCTGTGTTGCGCCCACTATGCCCCACTTCTTTCTCGGCAACACTTTCTATATCTCTTTTCTGGTCTCTCCTCCGACCACTACTTCTCTCCTGCCTCTCTAACATTATCTATCTCTTCTTTTCTACTCCCTCCCATCAAATATGCCGCTCCCTTTCTCCTACTGTCGCTGCCCGTGTCTACTTCTATCTTCTGCTATAACTATTCTCTACCTCTCTCTCTCTATCTATCTACATTCCAGTCTTTCTCTATCACTTTCTCTCTCTCCTTCGCCACTCTCTCTCACAGTTGCATTGTGCACTCTCTCCTACAATTGTCACTCTACTCTTGTTTCGAAGTATTGCTTTTTTTCTCGGCTCTATCGCCAATCTCTCTCTCTCTTTTCGTGTCTCTATCTAGAGATATATCTGTCTATTTTTCTACTCTCTCTCTCTCCCATCACGACCATTTTCCCTAA